AACAGTTAAGGAGTAGTTACATTTATACAGTCCTAACATTATTTTGGTCCTTTGAAGGCAACCACGAAGGTGATGTGGCCCCTGGTGAAAATGAGTATAACACCCCTGCTCTAAGAGAACTGAACAGATTGTATTTCCTCCTTACATCTAAAAATCTTCATTCTTTAAAAGAATAATGGTCACTTAAGGGCAGGTCTGCCTTTAAGTGTAAGAAAAACAGTATATGGTTCAGAAAAACCACCAGGGGTTAGCTGGACAGAGTTGACTGATGGTTGCCAAGACAGGCAGATGTCCATCTGGGTCTTATTCAGATATCACTCCAATCCAGTGACAAGGCATGAATACACACCTCAAAATTAAATAGATCTGGGGTGTGCTAGTGAAGTAATATTTTTGTCAAATGCAGCTGATTCCACAGTACTTCAGCTTAAGGTCTGCAAAGCATGGTAAGAATTATACTTTCATTAACTTTTCCATGTATGATTAAATCATTTCTCCACAGCCTAATGAAAAAAGGGGAGGAATCTTTAAAAACAACTGCAGTCCTGTCCAGGTTGCTCAGTTGGTTGACATGTCTTCCCGTACACCAGAAAGGCTGTGGGTTCAATTCATGGTCAGGACTCATGCGGGACGTGCTGATGCGTGTTTCTCTCTCACATTGTTTCTCTCTCGCGCTCTTTCTCCCCTCCTTCCTCTCTCTCTAAACTATAGCATAGGCTCCTATGTTGGAGTATTGTTTGCCTGCACTAAATTTAGGAATTAGGTTGTGATACTAACTAGTTGCTTAATCTCGGGTAAGTTGCTTAGCCCTTGAAGCTTCAGTTGCGTTATTTGTGAAATAAAGGTGTTGGTTCTAGCTTTAGATGGTGTCTGAGATCCCTTCCAGTCTGTCACCCTGTGACTTTTCCGCTACTGCTAGTTACCCATGTGTGTGTACACTCTGATGCCTGCCTCCTTAGGAGCGATTTTGTTTTGTTTTGTTGTTTAAGCTCGTAGCAAGCACTAATTATTGCAGCTCTAAATAGAGCAACTGTATGCATTTCCCAAATGCTTCTAAGTGAATGAAATAATGTAATGTACACTTAGAATCCTGTGAGATGATTCTTTATATTCCAAGAGCAACACTGAGAACTTTATAATTTCAGTTATGAAACTACCACAATAGCATATAATTACCATTTATCAATTTATCAGCTTCTGATTTTTGAGGTGCATGTGATTGTTTCTTGGACCTTTTCATGTTTTCTTCCTTTTCATCACCACACTAACAGTCGGTGGTCTTTGGGAGGCATTTCTCCCTCAAAGAAGTAAGCTGTCACTCACCAACAGTTCAGACATACACACCAGAGATAAGCCACCGATAAAGTCACTTTGAGATGCTGATGCTGTGTCACTGGCTAGACATCATTACCAGTTTGGTGGCTCACTGCTGCACAAGACAGTCCTGAAGACCCACCACAGATTTTTGCCTTTCTAAAACTGCCATGGGCTGGTGGAGTGTTTTTGACTTTTTTGGTGTCTTGTCCATTGTTCTTGATGGACCAACTCTCCTGAATAATATAGTAGGGAGAGAAAACCCCCTAGCCTCAGGTCCTACATATGCTGCAGTCCCAAATGGACTGCGATTTTACGAGAGGCCCTGAGAGAATTCGTCATTTCCCAGTCCCAGATCCCAGCCTCGTTTCAGGAATGACGCCGATGATGATGTTCAGGAGAGTAGGATATGCAACTCGTGTTTTGTTTTTTGTTTTTTGTTTTTTGTTTCCCTAAATCTCCCTGGGAGAACAACAGGATTGCACAGACTTTCTAATATTTAGGCTTTGTTGAATCTTTCTATACCTCACTCTTTGTGACCCAGAACCGTGGATCTTCTCACAGGGCTACTTTTCTGTGCTATAGTATTGGGTTGGCCAAAAAGTTCATTTGGTTTTTTCCATAAAATGGCTCTAGTAGCGCTTTGTTGTCTTTAACTTCATTTGGAACAATTTCATTAAATTGTATTGTGATGGCTGTTATATTGGTGCGCATTTTAAAAAATTATCAAAATTGGTGAATTTTTGTATAGCCATTTTAATACTGAAGGTGGAAGAAAATACACATTTTTGGCATATTAGGCTTTATTATTTCAAGAAAGGTAAAAACACAACAGAAAGGCAAAAAAAGATCTGTGAAGCATATGGAGAAGGTGCTGTGACTGATCAAATGTGTCAAAAGTGGTTTACAAAGTTTCATGCTGGAGATTTCTCGCTGGATGATGCTCCACAGTCAGGTAGACCAGTTGAAGTCGATAATGATCAAATGGAGACATTAAATCAATATTACACCTTGCGGGAGATAGCTGACATACTCAAAATATCCAAATCAATAGTTAGTGGTGAAAATGAAAAATGTGTCTTTTATTTTATGGAAAAAACTAAACAAACTTTTTGGCCAACCTAGTGCTCATTATGATTACCATAAGGAGAAACCTTAACCAGAAATGTGTGTGCTCGGCCCCTCCACGTGCGTTCAAGAAGACAGTCTTCCTGCCCTTCCCTCCAACTTGTTTTATCTGTTTCCATGCACAATCTTGGCAACATTTCCTCCTTTCCGTGAATTCCTAGACCTCATGTATTTTATCTTTATCTCTACCATGTAATCCTAATTATTTGCCTCCTTCACTACAATAAATTCTTCTTTTGATCAAAACTGCCCACTCCACAAGTGCCGAGTGCCCTGCCAGCCTCACGTTTCCACTGTGCCCCATTGGGCTTCAGCTGCACTGAACCACTTATTCCCCTCCCAGCCTCCACGTGTTCACCTTCACAGGCTCCACTGAGCCTTTACATGTGCCCTTCCACCCACGTGGCCCATCTAAAATTTACTTGTCTTGAGATGTGTCTTGAGTGCTGCTCCATCCAGGAAGTCTTCCCAAGTTAGACTTAGTTGTGAACATATTTGATTCCCAGAAGACAGCACCCATCTGGTCTTTGCTTTGCCCTCCTTGTTTTGGTGCTCAGAGACATTGAATGAGGATTCCTCATTTGCGTTTTATGGCACTGAAAGCCTTCAGGCTCAGCTGAGTGTGGTAGAGCTCTCAGACTGTTCTCCAGCCTCAGTGAGGAACGCGCCCTCCCTGCAGCCAGCACTTCTTCTCTCACCCCTTCCCTGGGCACTCCTTTATAAAGTTCGTCCTAATTATCTCTAGAAGTAATTCCTTACAAAGCAGAAGTTTTGGCAGGTACAGTATGTTTGGAACCTGCCAAACCAGGAGGATTTAAAGTGGCTTTTAAAGACTTTGCAAATGCCATTTTTCCCACAGCAACATAATTTTTCTGGCTTTCTTAGCTGCAAAACAGTATCAGCCAAGCTGATGCTTATTGCGTTGGCCATGCAGCAGTGGTAATTGATTCATTATACACAAAATTTCCTGTTAATAGAAATCAGAACTTTAAGTGCTGATTGAAAGGAGAGCTAATATATCAGGACACAATTACCCTATAGACCAAAAAACGAGGAGACTCTTAAGAGTGCTTTTTAATTGTTTTATCTCCTAAACCTAATTATTGTTAGCCTTGCAGGTGTCTAATAATTAACTTAGTCATAGAACATTAAACCATGTGCTTTTGTCTTCACCCCTCCCATTTTATTTCATATTTTGCATATTTGGTGGGGCTTTATATCTGCTTTGAGTCCACCCAGATTTGGGTGGCTTTTATTAAAAATACCTTCTAAAGCAGGAACTCAGGTGAATCCCTTCTCTGGGAGGATGATGATTTCTTGAGAGAACCAAGAAGTCTGAAGAGATCTCTAGCTTATAGATGTGCCTGCCCTGCTTATAATGACAGTTGCCTCTCCTCCCAAGTTCCAGAGATCACCACTCACCATCTTGGTCGACCCAAAACCCGAGACTGCAGACTTTTCTGCACACACACACAGAGTCAAAAACTAAGGTGAATGCCAGGCCGAGAGGATTTCTTCTCGTCCTAGCTGTCTTCACAGACACCCTCCCCCTGGGGCTGCACAGACACCCGTGGGCTTCCCAACCTCATAATTAAACCCACTGACAATTTTCGCTTCCAGCTCACTTGCAAAATAAATGCTTCTGTGAGGGTTCATTTTGCTCTTTCCATGTCCGTGTCCAGTGTGTGTGCAGTGATGATAATGGTGGTGGGGGAAGGAAGTATGGTGTGCCTGGAAATACATACTACAATTTTAAGTTTTCTTAGCTTGCTCATAATTAATTCAGAAACCAAGGATTGAGGGATCCATGAAGGGCTCAAAAGGAATGGGTGTCCTTGTGCTAATGAAACATAGCTGCATTTTAACATCGGCTTCCTGTTAGTAAATGCAAATCAAATGGAAGGAGATTCACCGTAGAGTGGTATTCTCTCTCTCACTGTTTTCATTCTCCTCCCCACTCCATCCTCTTTTTATGTTCTCTAACTGTACCTACTTTGGGGGAGATTAAGTGTGGTATTTGTCAGACATGTGATCCGTATACCTCTCAAAGCATCCGTTTTGTTCTGCCCAGATGAGGTGCTGGCTGTCCAGTAGCTCTGGCCCCAGGACCCCCCATATGTGCTCCTCCAAGAAGGCACACCACAGGGACCCTCCAGGCGATAGGATGTGCTGTTTCTGTTCACCAGGCTTCATTCTTTTGCTCACTGTAGCATCAGTACTAGTAGTCTTAGTTCTTCTTCACCTTAGAATTTGAGGGGATGAAGAAATCTAATTCCTTCAGGAAATCTTTGAAGGGGAAAAGTTCCTAGTAGGCTGATAGATGAATCTCGTTACATATATGGGTACATACATGGACACAGACGCAAACTTTCAGCATCACATACTAGTCATAGATGTGACCATCTATTTGGCCTAAAGGAACCCTGGTAAATGGTCTAGGGGTATGGGGAGATCTATCTGTTCTCTCTCTGAATGTCTTTTACTTTGTCCTTAAATGACATATTCTCTAGGAGTTTGTCTTACATATCTGTAAATGGTGACGGACTCTTTTGTCTCAGGGAAGAAGATGAGTACTCAGAGCTGCGATCAGAACTCAGCCAGAGCCAGCAAGAGGTCAACGAGGACTCTCGAAGCATGGACCAAGACCAGACCTCTGTCTCCATCCCTGAAAACCAGTCCACCATGGTCACTGCTGACATGGGTGAGTCTGCCTGCCATCACCACAGAGTCTGGTTTCCACAACAGGAATTTATAGAAACATGAGGCAGCCCAAATTAAAATTTAATTAGTCACGGAGTTTAGTGAGTAGATGAAGGCACGCCCATTTCAGTCCCTTACACACCACTTTGTTGGTCAAAATGTAACTGAAGAGCTGAATTAGCTTTCTGTCCTGATGTTTGTGACTCAAACATGTGTCACCTCTATTTGAAAAATCTACAAGTGGGGAACCAGTTATAAAGGCTATTGGAATGCTCCAAGTTACAGTGAAATCTGAAATGTGGTGGCAGGGATGGGAAGGCTAGAATGGGTGGTGACACACTGCAGTTAAACCAATAGCAACTGTTGGGTAAAGAGGAATCCAAAGTGGCTCTAATATGTTGATCCTGAGTGACTAAGAGACTGATCATATTCCTCAGAAGGAATATTGGTTCAGAAATGAATTGGGAAATAGATGTATTGTGTTTAAAGTTGTAGAGAAACCTCCATGTGGAAATATCTGGTACAGTGTTTATATGGTGTGTTTTTAAACTGCAGGTTATGACCCATTAGTGGGTCTTGAAGTTATATGAAAAATAAAATATTTTTGAAATCAAATCAAGTAGGAAAAAAATAGAATGACGGTATTGTTCCATGAAAATTATCTGTTATATGTGTATATGCAATAAGTTGTCAAATGAAATGTTCTGAATGTGGGTTGCAGTCAAAATGTTGTAAAACCACGGGTCTGCTTGGAGATGCCTAATTGGCTCTCTGGAGAGATTGAGGTTGAGGATAAAGACTTTGAAGTTGTAAAGTAAGATCCCTGTGGTCCAAAAGGTGTGGAGACAAAGGGAGGAGGAGCCCCACATCATCTTCTACAAAAGGAGGAGACCCATATCTTAGGAAACGTTCACATGCAGGGGAGAGATGGATAAAGGACAGGAAAAAGGAAGAATAAGATCATGCAAGATCTTGTAGACTGTGTGAGAGAGTTTGATCTTTATTCAAAGATCTACAAGAATAAACTGAAAGATTTTAATAGTGGGAGGGAGAGGAAAAGACAATCAGATTATGTTTTGAGTCAATCACTCTGAAGTGGGGAGAAAGAATCAGTGGATCAAGAGTGAATGGGGGAGGCCATCTAGGAAACCACTGAAAAAGTGCATGCGGGCAGAATTGTGGCTGGGACATAGGGTGGTGGCCACAGGGATGTAGGAAAGCAGATGGGTGGAGAAAAGGCATAAAATGGCAAGATCTGGCCGAAGGATCAGAAGCAGAGGAGGAGGTGTGTGTGGACATGTCCCATATGTCTGCGTCTGGATTGCACAGTGGATGCACAGTGGGGCCAGTCACCAATACAGGAGGATAGGAAAAAAGACCAGTTGGCTTGTTTTGCTTTCAATTTTGTTTTGTGTGTGGGGAAGGTGGGGTGGAGATCATGTATTTTGTTTGGACCTAAGTTTGAGGCATCTGGAGATTTCTGGATAGAGATGCTTGGGAAGGCAGTAGGTGTGGATAAGAAGCTAAGAGGAGAGGTGCAGGCTAAAGAGAAGCAGCTAGGAGACATCAGGTTGTGTGCAGATAGTTACCGAAGCAATGGAAAGTTATGCGTAGAGTTGAAAGTGCAGAGAGCCTGGAGGCTAAGCCTTGGGGGTCACCAGCTGATAAGGAGACTCAGCGAGAGCTCTTTGGCAGGGATGGGCACCTCATCATTTTGGTCTGTGTTTAGACGCACCTCCTCCAAAAGCAGCTCCTGAGCAGTGCTGTGCAAGTCCCTGTGCTGACCGTGTCGGTGCCCCATTCAATTCCTTCCTATATCACACTGAAATTTTGAAGGACGTGTTTCTATTTCTTTACTTGACCAGCTCTTCCCACTACATTCTACTTGGCGGAAGCATGCTTGTTTTATCTACTCGTGTATCTCCAGAGCCCCACTACAGGGCCTGGCGTATCATATGTGTTCAGAGATACTTCTCTGGATGAAAGAGTGAAGCAATCAACCAACGCATCAAGCAGTCAGTCAGGCAGAGTTATATGAGGGCAACGAGGGTAGTGGTGTCTGGAAGCTGGTGGGGCAGAAAAGGCTCTAATAAGGAAGGAGGGTCAATGGGCTGGACTACTGCTAAAGCTGAATGAGGCAGATTTAGCTACATCAAAGTCATTGAGAGCCAATACCAAATGAGCCAGACAGAAATGCCTGAGGAGTGGGGACACCTTCCCAGTCTTGGGGTCTTGGCTTCAGGCAAAACTGCCTCTCTCAAACCTGAACTCAGATCCCGGCCCAGCCATGGGCCCAAGTCTTACATGCTAAGTTACACCAGCCGCATGATTTCTAACCCTGTGGCCCCAAGCTTCTGCACTTGATCTTCCAGCCTTAGGCAGACAGACAAGTACAAGCAGCCAAAAGGTCGCCAGTTACTACAGAGACGTTCCTGCACTGATTCCTCCATTCATGTCTCTGAAACTATGTTCTATGAGATTGAATAAGTGACCCATGCTCCAACAAAGTTTCTTAATCAAATAAGGTTGGGAAATGGAGGGATAGAGCCATTTAAATGGGCCAAGGGTCTTTACCAAGGGACTTCTCAGGGCTCCTGACATGTTAGAGCATCTGTAGTTCAGGCTCCTCATTTCTTTCCATCTTTTCCTTCATTAAAAAAAAATACATTCATTACAGCAGGTGGTAGTATCTTTTCTGAAGGAACTGAGCTTCTGGAGGGGAGGAGCCCTGTCTGCCCAGTGTCCATGTATATCCTCTGCCCACAATAGGGGCCTTTATTCATTTTTTCAGAAACTCAGGCAGAGCTGCACCAGGGACTGGGGATATAAGAGAGAATCTGCCATCAGATGGCTGTACACCTGTGCTCCTATCCCTCCCACCTAGAGGGATACCCCAACTTCTTACCATGGCCTACAGGGCCCCCAGACACTGGGCATTGCCCACCTCAAACCTCATCCTCCCAAGCTATCTAGCCCTATCTTTTCTCCCCGCTCTGCCTTCACTGGCCTGCTCACTGGCCCTCAAACCTGACCAACTTCCTTGTTTCAGGGCCGCTGCAGTCGCTGTTCCCCTGCCATCTGCCCCTTCCTACACTCAGCCTTGGCTTTCTCCCACAGCCAGTCTTCTCTCACCTGAGGCCTCCTGGCGGAGGGCAGCATACACTCACTCTCACACTCGCAGGCATGCTCTTCCCCTCCCAGCTTTCTTTGTCTTCATAGCACTTAGCACTACCTGATGATGTCATGTGTTTGCATTTATAATATTTTGTCCTGTATTACCAGACTTTATCAGGCTCTCCTGCTAGCTTGCAGACTCCACATGGACAGCTATCCTGCTTACCAACGTAATAGTCCCGCACATAGTAGGCATCCAAATGTGTGAGTAGCAGTAAATGCTACCTTGGAGCTCATGATTCTTTGGGGGACATAGACAGAGAGACAGGGAGTGACCAACAGTGGGTGGACAGAGCCCCTAGTGACACCCTCGGATGGGAGCATTGGACAACAAGTCGCATTTAAGGTACATGTAAACTGAGGGACAAGTAGGGACAAGGCGAGTGAAGAGCAGGAGGCAGGAAGAGAGTCCTGTGGGCACAGGGCCGCCCAGCCAGGTCCCCAAGGAGGGAAGGCCCTGGGGCCAGCACGGAGGCTGGTTAAGGCTGTGGCAGAGTGCAGTCCCTGCATGCGTGCATCGGAACTGGACGTCTGGCTCCTCTGATTCCTCTGCCATTTTCCAATTAAACTGCTTCAATAGGGAAAAAAGCTTCCATATATAAACACCATTATAGGAAATCATTAAAAAGCAGCCATTTCATTACGGTTGCTATATCTGCAAACATGCATTTGCAACCCAGGGGTTTCCTTGAGCCGGATTTTATGTGCCAAGTTTGCTGCCATCTGTTTGCTGATCTCTATTTAGGATAATGGGAGTAAGTCCAACCTCTTCCTGACATTAAAAACGTACTTTTGTCTTAAAACTGCGCCCATCAGAGCCAAGGGTGCCCCTTCAGTCAGCGGGCTCCTGGGTACTGCTGTCAGGGCCCAGAGGAGGAAGCTGGCAATTTAGAAAATGTTTTGACACCTGAGTGGTCAGAGAAAGGACAAAGGTCCCAGTAAGGTCTCATTGCATCTTAAAGTAGATTGCATTATCTCTGTTCAAACCTAGTCACACAGTTGTTTGGAAAATAAAGATAATTAAATGGACAAAGACAAAGATGGAAATTGTGGCTTGAAATTTTTAGTTTTTCAGTTTGGCCAAGAGTTCTAATTAAAAGAAAGGTTGGAAATAATAGGTAACATGCCTTGCTCACTTATTTTGCGTCAAGCATGTACATACATCCTCATGTTTAATCCTCAAATTCAAAGGAGGCCTTGTAAAACTCCTTGTTTATAAAAGTGGGGATAACAGAGTTCGGAGGGGATAAGTCACTTGTCCAAGGCTACACAATCATTTTTGTTGTCGCCGCTGTGTTTCTGTAGATGGCTTTGCCCTGATACGCCTCTACTTGAACCATGAACCATGCCAGTGGTTGGCACGCTTCGCTCACTGCAGTCCTTTGAGGTCTCTCGTGCTGACGGGGGAATTTAGGAGCAGCTGTGTGATCATAGCACCTGGCTAATAGCAGAGTGCTTGTTGTTAGTCGAGATTTTGCAGATCTCGATCTTGGAAACAACACTCTTAGACCGAATGATTCTGGGTGCTGTAATGGAGCAGAGCAAGATGTGCACACATGCGTTCGTCGAGTCATGCGTGTTTGCATGTGTGCAGTGTCCTCACTAGCAGGCTGTTTTCCCTCCTCTGTTAACAGAACAGCAAAGCTTGTCAGAAGCAGCTGTTTGTAAAACAAACAAAATCCATAATCCAATGGGTCTTTGCACAGCCTGTGATGTGTTCTGCTCCAGTATTTTGAGGTCTCTTCCGGTTTAAAGGGAGAAATTCTTATTTTTCTAGAATTTAGCAATGCTAAACCATTTATACCCTTAGGGCTAACAGGAAGCATT